AAAAACTGTTTATAGTCTTGTGATTAGAGAATACAAAGAGCACAATAAAATTTAACTTACCTGCTTTCTTTTTACCAAGCTTTCTTCATTAGAAAGAGGAGCTATCTGTGGCTTAACACCTCCCAATGGCAGGAAAGTTCTTAAGAGGGAGGTGAAAGATTCCCCTGGGATTCTGATTCTTAATTATTAGCGGCTAAGAGTAGCCAGCTAGGTGAGCCTGTATTTCTTGCTACTTCTTGAATTGAAGACATCTTGGGGTAAAGTAGATTGAGAACCTGAAATTCATAATTCATAGGCCTTGCCATCTATGGATTTAGTTTTGTGAGTGAACATCTCTTTTATCTTTCAGATTTAGTTGAGCTAATGGTTACTGAGTGTTTCCTCCTTAAGATGTGTGGGGATGTTATGTCTCGTTTATATTGACTGCATGTTTTTATTTGTTGCTTATTTAGCCATTTTTTAAAATAATTTTTGGTCAATTGCTAAAAAAATGTGCTAAAAAAGTGAGAAATTTCATTGTGAGTAGAATCTGTACTTCAAAGAGTTTTTATTTATGTATGTATGGGGGAAATCTTAAGTAGCAAAACTCAGTGATTTAGGTGAAATGTTAGCTCAGTGATAAAGAACATGCTTGACATGCACAGGGCTCTGGGCTTAGTCCCAGCATCTCCAAATTGCACTTGTACAGAGTCAAAGAGTATCCCCCAGATTATGTGAATAAATAAGAGTGTATTTAAATTAATTTGGGGTGTATACTATCTCATTTAGCCGCATAGTATCTCTCTAGTGAAAGATGGATTGACAAGGAGAGGTTAAGAAGTGAGATTATTTTGTCTCATTTTTAAATTACCAAATTGAAGCAAAACCATGCATTTGAATTCATAGCAAAGCTTTCACTGGGACAAAACACGTCTCTAAGCCTCTTCCTCCAAAGCTCTTTCATTAGGGTAATTGTCTGGAACTTTTATTTACGTTAATCTTGTCATTCTGAAATTTGGACAATTATCTTCATTGTAAAGAACTGACGCTTACATGTCTATTGATGAATCTTACTTTAAGAAAACCGAATACAGCTGGCCTTCTCGGCAAAGGCCTGGAACCCCAGAGTCCCAGCTACTGGGAAGCTGAAGCAGCAGGCCTATCTGGGAGGCCAGCCTGAGCAATTTAGTGAGCCTTTGTCTCAAAATAAAAAGTAAGTAGGAGGCAATGACAGGAGGATGCCACCAGCTCTCCTGGTCTACTTAGTAAATTCGGAGCCAGCCAGGGCTAATAGTGAGATTCTGTCTTCAAACCAACAACAGCAACAACAAAAAACCCCAAACAACAGCAAAACCGCAAGAAAGAAAAACCATAAACTAAATAGATGAAAAATAAAAAGAAGGCTGAGAATACAAGTAGTAGAGTGCTTTCCTAGCTTCAAGAGATCCTAGGTTCACTCTCCCAATACCTTACACACACACACACACACACACACACACACACACACACACACACACACACTCTCACTCACTCACTCACTCAAGTGAACAGAGTACAAGGATGTTTGTGTGTGTATATATATGTATGCACATATATGTGGAAATGGCATGATTTATAGCTCATTTTAATTTTGTTTTCACAGTAATTCTATAGCATTGAATAATTTTAAGTGTGTTTCCTATATAGTTTCTATCAGGATGAATTCGTACCAATCTGATTTGTAACTTGTTTTTAAAAGCAAAACTTCCTTTCCATTTACTTTTGTATTTCATAAATATAGTAACCCATATCTTTAAAGCCTTAACATATTAATAATTGTATTTTTATTCAGAATCCTTTTAGTCCAGCTGAAAATGAGTTTTAGTTTTCTAATTCTTCACTTAAAATATCAGGATATTCAAATTGTTTATTACTAAGTTGTATGTATGTTTTCTTATTCTGTTAGATACCTCATTGTTGTAGAGTATTATTTTAAGGTATGTTACTTTTGTTTATGTTACATTTGTTTAACTCTGTGAAGCTGTGTTACTGTGCCTGTCTAAAACACCTGATGGTCTACTAGAGAACTGAACGGCCAATAGCGAGGCAGGAGAAAAGATGGGCAGGGCTGGCAGGCAGAGTATATAGAGGGAGAAATCTGGGAGGAGAAGATGAAGGAACAAGAGAAGAAGGAGAAGAACATCAGAGTCCAGCCACCCAGCCACCCACGGAGTAGGAGTAAGAGTAAGATTTACAGAAGTAAGAGAACGGGAAAGGTTAAGAAAAGCTGGGAACAAACAGACCAAGCTAGGCCGGGCATTTATAAGTAAGAATAAGCCTCCGTGTGTGATTTATTTGGGAGCTGGGTGGTGGACCCCCTAAAAGAGCCAAAAAACAAATAAAACACCTCGCCCAAGGTTCATTGCATATATTAAATGCTTAGTATCTGTAAAATAAGTTTTTTTTTTTTTTTTTTTTTTTTTTTTGTAAAATAAGTTTTGATTGGTTGATTTGTGACACTGAAGACAGAATGCTGACATGAAGGAGACTTTCTCCTGTGGGCCTTACTGGGACACTCTCAGTTTGTGTCCCCTCATCTTTTACTCACACATAAAATATTTTCTTGTGAGCTTACTTCTGCTGGATACACCATAATCTTCTGTATGAGTTGTAGCAGGTGAAGGAAATTTTATAAAAGGAAAGGAATGATTGATAAGAATCACAATATAGAGCATACCTGTGGTCTTACATAGTTGGTAGTGATTTGTGTAGAAGAGATGCTTTGAGTACACCAAATGCAATTGCAGAACATGTTTTATCATCAGACAGAACCACATGATGAAGTGTTAGCATGTGGAACAGAGCTTCTTCAGTAACAAGGCCTGTCTCTGTCTTCTAGTCCTCAGTAGACACACCTTCAAGACGGTCACAGCCAGATACTAGAAAGCCAGGATCAGTGGGGACTGAGAAAGGCTACTTGGAGATTAATTTGAAAGTTACAGAGTATGAATTTTTACCCTTTTGTAGCTGTCTGTAAATCTATAAATAACACTGCTTGTTATTCTAACAACAGTGGGTGATAAACAGTTCTGATTAGCACGTTACTGTGAAGTTCTTTCCCATTCCAGTAAACCTTAGTTAGTCTCAGATTTGTCACTTGTTTTCAAAAGAATCAGTCCTTCTTTATTAGCTGAGAAATACCTACTTGATTTTTCTAGATCTTTATTCTGGTGAATCTGAGCTTGTGCTATAAGCACAAAGATCTTTTCTGTTTTTTTTTTTTTTTCTTTTCTTCTGCACCTTGTGGATCTTTTATGAATAACATCCTTTGAATTTTCCGTTCTTTTAAATATTGGTATTTTGGCAAACCCAAAAGTTGTGCAGTCGCTTTCCTTAGTTTCACTCACAGTCGTCATTTCAGCCACCACTCAGTTTCTCTTGCCATTCTCTGCCTTGGAGTTTTTCTTTCTTTCTGTTACCTGTAACATACATGAAAAAAAAAAAAGAGTGCATTTCTTCCAGTAAACCTAGCACACAGTTCTTGTTAGATGTAGATGGCACTGTTCTTTTAAGTAAAAGCTTCAGGGTCCACACTAACAGATGTATGATTGGCTAATTTTTTTTTCTCTCACATTTGTTCCTTAAGACCAAAAAAAAAAGACTTATGTAAAATGTAGTGATAGAAGAAACAGAGTGTGGTATCTAGGAACATTCTGTGCTATCTCTGGAATGCTCACTACATTTGAAATGCCTCAGAGAGTAATCAAAACATAGACGGGGCACATTTTCTTTTCTCTTGTTATTGATGTGATTTTTAGAGTTATTCAAGTTCTGGGTTTTTTTGTTGTTATTGTTGTTTTTTGAGACAGGGTTTCTCAGTGTAGCTTTTGCACCTTTCCTGGAAATCACTCTTTAGCCCAGGCTAGCCTCGAACTCACAGAGATCCACCTGCCTCTGCTTTGAGTGCTGGGATTAAAGGTGTTTGCCACCACCGTCCAGCTCCAAGTTCTGTATTTTTTTTTAAGATTTGTTTATTATTTATACAGTGTTCTGCCTGCAGGCCAGAAGAGGGCACCAGATTTCATTGTAGATGATTGTGAGCCACCATGTGGTTGCTGGGAATTGAACTCAGGACCTCTGGAAGAGCAGCCAGTGCTCTTAACCTTGGGGCCACATCTCCAGCCCCCTCAAGTTCTATGTTTTTAATGAGTCATTTAAAAAATTCTGGCAAATAACGTTTATCTACTCCCCTGAGAAATTGTTGAGTCAGCAATAATGCTTCAAACCACTTTGAAAGTATCCTTCCCAGGATCCTTGTAGCTAAAGTACATGCTACTGAGCAGCCTGCTTCCTCTTGCAGTGTACTCAGTAACCTGCTTTCTTCCCCCCACCGTGTGTGTGTGTGTGTGTGTGTGTGTGTGTGTGTGTGTGTGTGTGTGTGTGTGTGTGTTTACTGTATGACAACATATAGGATTCAGTTCTCTTTTTCTGCTGTGAGTCTGGTCATCAGGCTTAGTGACAAGTGCCCTCACTTAACTTAAGTGTCACACCAGCTCCTCTGTGCCCCTTGTTTCTTGATGGAAACGTGGTTTTGTTTGTAGCATTCAGAATTCTGGGAATGGCTGAGCACATAAGTTACAGCCTTTCCTTTCCACTGCCGTGAGTTTTGTCAGAACGTTGGCTGGGAGTGCTGACGTGCTGCTGGAGTGGCATGTCACTCCTCCACCATGGTCTCAGCATTTGCAACATGGTCCGAGTATAGGAAAGTTAGAGATGATTTTTAATTTAGCTGCTTAATTTCACATTGATTTAGTGCTATTTCCAAAGTAATTCTTTTTCTCTGCCATCTCCCTAAATATGCACATCAAATTTTTATTGAATTTTTTTATTGGATACTATCCATAAGGCTTGATTCTTTATTTAAGTAAGAAATCTGCTGAACCAGCTTTGGCTAATTGTGTCATCTTTCAATACCTGTGACGAAAGTGGGGGAGTTCTTATGTATACTTCTTCTATCTCTATCTTCTTTGTTTCACTGGCAGAATCCCAAGGACTGCAGCAAAGCCAGGAAGCTGGTGTGTAACATCAACAAAGGCTGTGGCTATGGCTGTCAACTTCATCATGTGGTTTACTGCTTCATGATTGCGTATGGCACCCAGCGAACACTCATCTTGGAATCTCAGAATTGGCGCTATGCCACTGGGGGATGGGAGACTGTATTTAGACCTGTAAGTGAGACATGCACAGACAGGTCTGGCCTCTCCACTGGACACTGGTCAGGTAAGGAGCTTGTACACCAGGACAGATCACTGGTAAGGTCAGATTAGCAGATTTCTAGGGACAGTTGTAGAGGCTATAATCACCTTTTCTCTTGATTCATAAATGCTATGCATAATGCATAGAAAATTTAGAGCAGTATTTTATTTTTAAAGGATTGTATACCCATGTGTGGTGGCACATACCTACAATTCCAGTGCTTGGAAATATGAGATGGGAGAATTATGAGTTCAAGGCCAGTCTGGGCTACATGGCAAAAATCTGTATCTAAAATAAATAAATGAAAATTATTTAATAGTTTATTTCACTTTGATGTTCATTTTTATCTTGACTTAGTGATTTCACTCTTGTTTTTTCCGAGGAGTACAATTTAATATTTTAATAAGGATGGTGTAACTCATTTGTAAGGTGATGTTATTGAATTTATTTTACTCTTCATAATAAGTCAACCTAAGAATCTCAAACATTAGCATGCCTGGAAGACTTGTTAAAATGATGGGTTCTGATGCAAGCTGTCAGGAGTGGGGCCCAAGAATTTTCATTTCTGAGAAAATTTTTATATCTTGAGACCAAGGTTTGAGAATCATTGAGATAGACTGCTGGTAACTGTCTTTATTTTACAGTTGAGGACAGTGAAAAATTATTTGCTTATATAATTTTAATTTTGATCACAAAACATTTGGTGGTGGATAGGTTGAACTATGGCTTCTTCCAGGCCTTCCCAAGTGATTAAAAAAATAATAAAAAGATAACAGATTTTTCCCTTCTCATCAATAAAGTAGTATTAAAAGGACTAGATTATAGACAGAAGGTATTTAGTGGTATTTCGGTGCTCTTTTTCTACAATCAAGACTTTAAGTTAGGCTACCATTATTAAAAATCCCGGCTTTGCCATCTTGTAATCTTGGGTAAGTCATAGAACCCAAGATGTAGTTTATTTACCAGTAAAATGAGAGAATAACTTACCCCACTGAATTGTTTTTAACACTAAATAAGTCATATATTGAAATGCACCTACTTTGGAACTTCATGTAAAAGCTGAAGTAATTGCAAACTACTATTATTTGCTTTTTTAAAAAAAGTAAATGTAAGAGTGCCTGTAATGTGGCAGGTATTTATCGTAAAAGCTGAGTGTTGCCAGACATGGTGGTCATGCCTTGAATCCCAGCACTCATGAGGTGGAAGAAGGTGGATTTCTGAGTTTGATGCTAGCTTAGTCTGCATAGTAAACTCAGGCCAGCCAAGGTTGCACAGTGAGACTGTACCTTAAAGGGGGCGGCGGGGAGACAATGCACTGTTTTTGAACTCACATCTTTTGGGACATCAAACTTATTTCAAAGCTGAGATGCTGAGAGGTTTCCATAGCATCATTCATCTTGTGGCTGAGCAACACTTTCTCACAAGCTACAGCACTAGATGTAGTTTAATGGTATAATGGTCATTACACTATTGGCTGAATGAGTGATTAATTTTCCATTATCTTTTGGGTCTAACACTTAACTCTTCACATAGAAGTGTCATGAAATTTAATTGGGTAATTTCTTTAAAATACTTTAGAGTTTTATGTAAAAGATTCCATATAGAGTAATAGTAACACATTGTTTATAAAAATTATTAATGATATATATAAGATATATATGTATTTTAGAGACACTAAAACATTTCAGAGAAGTAGAGGAGACAGCATAAATTCTAATAAGCTCCTTGATATTAATCCCTTGGTTTTAAAAATATCTGTTGTTGTGACTTATACCAAGAATCCTGGATATTTTCTCCCTTTGGCTCCACTTCTGTGAAATTGTTATTGTTCAGAGACATTTTACATGATGTGCCTATGGCTGGAATTTAATGATTGCTATTTGTATGCATCATTAGTGCAGGAATTAGTGAGCATATCTGATCATTTCAAGCTTCATCCTACCTTGTAGGTTGACTTCTGTTTCCCTTGCATTATTTTATAGTTATAAGCCCCTATCCTGGCCTGGGAAGATCCTGGACTGGGAAGATGGTTTATCGTGTAAGAGCACTTGCCGTGCAAGCATGAGGATCTGAGTTCAAATCCAAGAACCCACATAGAAAGCTGGGCATGGCTGTGCACATCTGTAACCCTAGTGCTATAGTGGAGGGGGCAGATAGCAGGAACAGGAGGATCACTGGGACCTGAGGCCACTAGCCTAGCCCCGTGATCAGTGGGAGACCCTGCCTTAAAGGAATAAGGTGAAGAGAACACCCAACATTTTCCTCTGGCCTTCTTGCACATGAGCACTTGCACCCATTCACTCATGTGTTTGTACACCACACATGTACCCCCACATACACACACCTTTTATAATAAGGAAGATAGATAGTATAGAGTATGCATCTAACTAAAAATCATCAAAACCCTTCTATCACCTGCACGCATCATGTATATTCTTAATAGTGGTGTTGTGTTCTCAAGTGGTGAGGAATAAAGAATTAATTTTCCTTACTACTAGACAGCACCTAAAGTAACTACATATATAGTAGACCCTCAGATTCGTCCACACAGATCTCAGGAATTTTGCCTTTTTATTTAATGCTTTGAAATAACTCCCGACAATTACTGATTTTTTTTAACTATAGTATCTGTTTTATGCTATGTATGATAACTAGCTTCCAAAAATTTTTGTAGTTGGCATAAATACCCTTGAATAAATGATATAGTGATATAAATTCTAATAATTTAAACAATCTGCGATTTCTTTTTTTCCTTTAAAATTTCCTTATTTTATATTTTTTAACAAAAAATTACTGGGATTATCGTTTAAATTAGTTTGTCTCTATGTCTTATTCCTATTGCCATAGTGAGTTGAACTGAGGTATTAACTTAATACATTGAATTGGAAACATATTTGTAAGTGAAAATAATAAGTAGCAAGAAAGAGTTTTATGCCTTAGCAGTTTAAGTACAAATGTACGTAGATGGCTATTTTTTATATTTGCTCATATAAACTGTATGGTTATGTTTCCTCTCTGCCTCATTTCCAAAAGGGTTTTGAACAAAGATATTTTATTTGCCATCCTGTGGTTTATATGGGGGCACTCTCAAAATAAAAGTACTTGCTTTGTAGCCGGCACCCATGCTTGAGTAGTCCTTGCATGAAGAAGACAGTCACAGTCTCCTTGTCATGGGCAAGGCTGAACGAAGAAGTGAAATCTGCTGTGTACTGTTGTAGTATTGATAAGTTCAGAGTCCTCTATAACACAACGTTACAAATAGGTCCTTTTGGAAGAAATGATTTTATTCTTAGACCTAAAATATGAGTGAGTAGGAGGCAGTCAGGTAGGGAACACCTGAGATTTTTAGCTGTTTATTTTCTCTTGAAGGCTCAAAATGTGGCAGCCAGATGTGCATCTTCCTGGGTTGTTTGTCCAGAACTTGACCAGAGCACTTTAGATTTTTTTATTTCCCATTTTTGTGTATGAGGTTTTGTATGTATGTGTACCATGTGCATGCCTGATGTCTACAGAAGTCAGAAGAGGGCGTTAGATCCCCTGGAACTAGAGCTGGGATGGTTCTGAGCCATTGTGTCAATGCTGGGAGCTGAGTCTGGGTCCTCTGCAAGAGCAGTAAGTGCTGCTAACCACTGCTGTTTGCAAGCCACCAGAGCATTTTACATGAAATAAAATACCACCCCTCCCTTCCAAACTTCAGAACTTTACGTGAACCACTTACCAAGTTGTAATGCTTTTTTTTTTTAAATGAAAAGTCTATTGTTAAGAATGAATCTTCTTAGCAATATATTTGCCCTGAAAGTTTCCAGCAGAATGAGTCCAGGGATAAAGAGAGGAGTGGCTTAAGAAGGACTATATAATTAGTATCAACATCACTGTAGCCTGAAAGCAGTCTCATTAATAAAGGGTTTCTGAAAAATCTCTTCAAGTCTATTTAGAACCCATCCAAGGTTGTTTTAGTTAATAAAGTCCAGGTGTTCTAACTTCCTATGAGCTGTCTGCATAACTTTTTCAGAAATATTAGTGTTCTTGTAAAGATTTAACATGCTTTGTATGTTAGATGTGTTCCTTAAATGTGTGGTATAAATTGTTACAAACCAAGTCATGTTTTAAATATGCAGGTGTACTGTGTAAATACATTGAATATTGGGAAAAATTAGAGTTGAGTCTTCCACTTCTTCCTAATGATGTTTCTTGTAATTCAATTAAAATTTTACCTAAGAATCCTTAAACTTAATGCAGTTTGTAGTTTATATAGAAATTACAGATAGCAATACTATAAGTCAAATTGATTTTTCTCAAAAATAACAATATTATCAGTTAGTGTTCAAAATTTTGGTGTACAACTTCATTTTTAAATACAGTTGCCAAAAATTCTATATAGGCGTCAATAGTGGCATATTTATGTTTGTGGTTTTAGTACAAATTTATTACCACTATAAACAAGGAAGTCCGGTGCTTATCCAGTTTTTAAAAATGAAATGTCTGTACATGTTATAGAATATGAAAAGGCTAGGATAAAAAGAACAAAACGTAGCCACTGTTGTTCAGGAACTTGCCGTTGACTATATAAGACAGATATATGTAAATACTTTTAACTGATAGCATATATTCAGTGGCTAAGGAGAAATTTCTATGAGTCATCAGAGTAACTTTCTGGCTTAAGGGGTGAGAGACTTCCCTGGAAGCATAGACTAAAGTCTTTACAGAATGAGGAAAAGTTATCATCTATAAGGACAAATCAGTGCCATCGATTTTAGGCCAAAAGTTAGTTATGTGACTTTGGGTAGTGTAGTAATTTGATAAAAATGGCCTTCATAGGCTCATACGTTTGAATATTTGGTTCCTGGTTGGTGGAACTGTTTGGGAAGGATTAGGAGGTAAGGCCTTGTTGGAGGAGCTGTGTCACTGGGGGTGTGCCTTGAGAGTTCAAAAGCCCCCTGCAGTCCTAGTCTCTGCTTGGCTGCCACTGTGCTTCCTACCTTCGTGATCATGTGCTAGTGCTCTAAAACTGTAAGCAAGTCCCC